CGAACGGAAAAATAAAAGTGTCCAGGGGCGGGAATCGAACCCACAACGTTCCGCTTACCGAGCAGATGCCATGTCCACTATAATCATACGCCGCAGTCCTTTATAATGTATTATAAGTTACTTTGAGTATTATTCACGAACGGAAAAATACGTCCAGGGTAGCCTAGTGGACATGGCATCTGCCCGGTAAGCGGAACGTTGTGGGTTCGATTCCCGCCCCTGGACACTTTTATTTTTCCGTTCGCCATTACTCTTCATATTTTCACCCTTTCATACTTCATACTTCGCCATTACTCTTCATATTTTCACCCTTTCATACTTCATCTAAAAAAGTTAGAAATAGTAAATATTTCTCTTTGAAATAAATATTGATTTTTCACAGAAAAGAAACTTATGCGGTCTTTAAGTGTTGTTTTATAATATTTCTATTATTGTCATATTTAGAAATGGGCAAGAATTGTCAATTTCAACGCAACACTGAAACGTCACACATTATTTATTTATATAGATTTGGTCTTATTTATATATCTTGTAGTTCTAATCTTATAATACAAATTGTACCCTATCAACAAAATTTTTTCACTTTTCCAGTAAACAAGTTTTGTTAATTAATAACAAATAGAAAATATAAAAGGTCGTTCTTTATTGCTTTTCATTGAATTTAAAATATATATGATAGAGAATTTTAATTATTTACATATATACAGTTAAACCTGTCTATAGCGCCCCCTCTAAATAGTGCCTCCCTCTCTATAGCGCCCGATTTTAAATACATAGTACGATGCGATTTACATTAAAAGTGACCTGTCTATAGCACCCTCTCTCTATAGAACCCTATTTTGGTGAGTCCCAAGAGGGGGCGCTATAGACAGGTTTAACTGTATATATAAACCAAAGAACAAAAGAAAAATAGGGGGAAAAACGTAAACATTGGCAGCCATCATTTTCTTTTTCCGCAAGCTACAGTTATAGTCTCGATCCCGCGCACACCACGCCAGCCGCCTCCACATGTTGCTCGAATGGGTCATCCTCCCGAGCTGCTTGCTTTCTCTAATGGATATTTAGCAGCAAGATGTAGAGGGAAATATTGACAACCATTGAGTCATCATCCTGTAATATAACTATCAAAAAAAATTTTTTTTTTCCAAATCCATATTCTTATTTTCCATAGGATTATTCAAATAATAATCTGTAAATATTTGCCATGTGTATATAATATTTCTCCATTTTTACCCCTTTGCATATTTCCCACTTTCATGGGTTTCTCCATCTTGTAACCCCAAGGAGAATCCTCTGTAAGACCTGTGTGTCTTAATAAAGGCTTTTGTGTGTGTGTGTAATATAACTATCTCCAATATGGAGACCAGCAGTCGTCATGGAATGTAATGAATTAATCATCATATTAACCAACTTTATCCAAAATTTCTGATATCTTGCAGGTATTGAACTAAAGAAGTTTGAGGACTATAACAATGTACCAGAAGTGATAATGCACAATTTGGATTATAGAATATAAACACAAGGTAATAAGATCAAATCCAAATAAATAAATAGTGTGTGACGTTTGTGGTGGTAATAATGGTAACAACGCTGTTACTGAAGCGTCACACACTATTTATTTATTTGGATTTGGTCTTATTACCTTGTATTTTATGTACCAGAAAAGTCATCTCTCCTTTTAATCTTCTCTTCTTCTTCTTCTTTCTTATCTCCACTCAATCATATTAGGGTATCAAGTTGTGACCCTTGATGGTGTCTGTTTGACAACCATCATGACTGGGTGAAGTAGAATGTGTCTGCCTTTGTCATTAAGACTGGGAGCACTACTCAGTGGCAGGCCTCCTTTTAATTATACATCTGAATGATGGCATCACCCCAGGAAAAAAACCTTACTAGTGATGATAAAGCATGAGTCACAAGAGAGAAGGGCTTTCCCCGAAAGATTCTTTATACAATTAATAAAAAAAGAGTTGTGGCATACCTAATATACACACCGTGTGAAAAGGAAATTACTGAAGAACTCCCCCATTACCTGCGTACAGCCCTTGATGAAGAAAGGAAGGCTCTATATCAACAAATTAAATGTACCAACATTTCACCCTACATATTGCTTTCCAAAATATCAGCAAACAAATCTAAGTCAATAGCTTACTATAATTTTTTTAGATCATCATTATGTAAGGACCAGTCAACAATTGAATGACTTTGAGATGAAGAGTAAAGCCAGTTCAATTTCCATCTTACTACCTATGTAAATAACATATGACGATTGTTACCTTACCCAATTGGGAGAATATGTATGGGGCATGTCCCTAATAAAGGCTTTGTGTGTGTGTGTGAGTTGTGGCATCTAATGACCTTTTTTGTAACCTATATGCAAATACAGTTAAACCTGTCTATAACGCCACCTCTAAATAGCACCTCCCTCTCTATAGCGCCCGATTTTAAATACATAGTAGTAGGATGAGATTTACATTAAAAGTAACCTGTCCATAACATCCCCCTCTCTATAACACCCTATTTTGGTGAGTCCCAAGAGGGGGCATTATAGACAGGTTTAACTATATATATATATTTATGGTTATTTTAGAAAAATGTCCACTAGCAGTGAATGTTGCAATGAAATGATCTAACCGACTTTAATTCAACTGAGAGCTCTGATCCCTTGGGGTATTCCATTAAAGAAGTTAGACTGTATTTATATATGTATTTATATTTAACTGTATGCGTCCCAATCTCACTGCATCAAATGAATGTGTTTTTTGTAGGAAATCCTGCGCAAGGAGTGGATGTTTGCTCTGATTGGTACAGAGACATTTGAGCTAGGTCCGGCTGGTGTGCGCTGTGTGATCAGCATTTCACCGGCCTCAGGGTTCATGTATGAGTACAGTCTGATGGTGAACGGCAAGCGATTGGAAGCCTTCATGGAGGCCCAGAGTAAAGTCATGAGGACCTGGGCCGCAGAAGTCAGCGGGGAACCTGTGCGTGTGGTACTGGGTGAGTGGACTTTACCTTACGCTATGGACAGGTTGTTTTTTTTTATGGTTAAATCATCAGGCTATAAGATAAGATTCTTTTTAAAGAATTTAATTCATATATTTATAGCTTTAAGGCATGAAAAAGTAACAGAGATTTTAATTATACTCTTTAAAAAAAAATGTATTCCTGGAGTGAAAATAAAAAATAGTACAATTGTGATAGTTTTTTTTTTTTTTTGCTTATCCCTAATACATGTGGTACAGGCCATGATAATCATGGTGGGTAGAAGTAGGCGACTGCTTTATGTTACTGGGATAAGGTGGATAAATTAGGAAAAGAAAAAAAAGATATCTCCTGGCCATGCAACTAAAAGTTACTGATGGCTTGCACCATCTGTCATTATAAATATCAACTATTCATTGATATTTTAATTATTCCAGAATTGTCTAAATATCCATTCTTGATTAATCAAAAAAAGCTAACCACCTACATGTTTTGGGCTGTTGGCCCTCGTCAGCGTGGTGTAAGCTGTACCTCAATGACATTATGTGGTTAGCTTTTCTTGGTTAATCAAGAATGGTTATTTAGCCAATTCTGGGGACTAATGAAAAAATCAACAAATAGTAGATATTTATTCTGACAGATGGCACAAGCCATCAGCAACTTTTATTTGCACGATCAGGAGATTCCTTTTTCTTAATTTATCCACCTGATCTCTCGGTACAATTTCACTTTTTTACTATTTTTTCACATTCCAGGGATACGTTTCATTTTAAAGAATTTGATTACGATCTCTAGCTTTTGGGCAAGAAAAAGCTAGAGCTCCAAATTAAAAATTCTGTATAAAGAAATTTAACCCCGGAAACCTGGAGATGATTTCACCTTAATTATTCTATTGAATTGTATTCTATATACAGTTACGAGCGTCATGCGTTCTTAATAATTCTTCATATCTGTCACCATTTGCTTTTTTTTTGGAATGGCGCTCTCCTATTGGTTGGCTACGATCATACCACCTTTGCCCCCCCCCCCCCCCCCCCCACTTGCTTTTTGGTTTTTGTAACTATTGTGTTGGAGCGGTCGCTCCTTAAATAAATGCATATATTAGTTAATAACTAAATGGAATCCTCTCTTTCTTTTTCCCAGTAAGAGACGCCTACGGAAGCCAACAGTACATAGACAGATAAAGCACATAGGCTATAGTTATTAACTAATATATGCATTTATTTAAGGCGCCAATTTATAATTGTAACAAATAGTATTTGAATAAAAACATTCAATCGGGTAAAACACGGGCTTTGCCCGGGTCATTCGGCTAGTAGATAATAAATACAAGGTAATAAGACCTAATCCAAATAATTTAATAGTGTATGATGTTTCAGTATCAGCATTGTTACTATCATCAGACAAAAGAATAAAAATGTTTTTTTTTTATTAATATATAATTGATAAGGCACAATTTGGATTATAGATTATAAACAATAATTGTCTGAAGATGGTAACAACGCTGTTACCGAAATGTCACACACTATTTATTTATTTGGATTTGGTTTTATTACCTTGTATTAATATATAATGTTTTTTTTTTTAATATTCTTTTGTCTGATTGTGGTAACAATGCTGTTACTGAAATGTTACACACTATTAAATTATTTGGATTTGGTCTTATTACCTTGTATCTATAATCTATAATTCCAATTGTGTTTTATCGTTGTATAAGTTTTGTTTATAGTTGCAGTAGATACATTTTGTGACAAACTTAAAGCAAAAGTTGTACCTTTTAGCATGTATATCAGGATTCAGACAATAGCTCTGAAAGATATAACAGTGACCTTTGTTGAAGACATACGAGATAACCAAGTGTGAACAAAATTGCCTTTGTCTCTTTAAAAAAAATATATATATAAATAGACGACCAGCGATACCAAAGGTTTACCAATTCCAAAAGTTTTGTCCATGAGTGTAATTTCAAAACATTATCTAATTATATTTCTAATACATATATATTTGTGAATGATTGTTCGCCCCCCCCAAAGCTATCTTGTAGAAGTTCTTGTCCGATCACCGAAGTCAAGCAATGTTGGGCCAGGTCAGTATTTGGGAGGGTGACCACCTGGGAACATCGGGAGCTGTAGGCTATTACCTATCTTGTAGAATACAAGAAAATAAGACCTAATCCAAATAATTTAATAGTGTGAGACGTTTTGGCAACAGCATTGTTACCATCATCCACCATTATCAGGATGATGATGGTAACAATGCTGTTACCGAAACATCACACACTATTTATTTATTTGGATTAGATCTTATTTTCTTGTATTAAAATCTATAATCCAAATTGTGCTTTACTATCTTGTAGAAGTAACACTGTGTCTGCTGCAGAGAAAGACACTCTGGACATCTGGGTAAATGGCCAGAAAGTTGAAGCTGCTGTAAGTTTACTTTTTTATTGTTGTACATTTTGTATAAAATATAATTACAGTAGAACAACCTCCATCAGAGGACACTTGCGCTAGAAGACACCTCTCTCAAAAGAAAGTTTTTCATCACCAAAATTACCATTTTTACAATTTAGCAACTCTTCGGTAAGAGGACACCTCTCTCTAAAGAACACTTTGGCTCTCTACCTAGGTATTGTCTTTTACAGGGGTGTTCTACTGTATATAAATTTAGAAACCACATTTTTAAAATTCTAAGCAATAGTGTACGGTAGAACCTCCCTTTAGAGGAAACCTCTCTACAAAGAACAGTTTTCATTTGCAAAATTACCATTTTTATAATTTAGCAACTCTCCAGTTAGAGGACATCTCTCCCTAAAGGACACTTTGACTCTGCAATTAGGTGTTATCCTTTACAGGGAGGTAGTTCTACTGTATAGTTTTTCCTTAATGATTTAAAATAATATTAAAACAGTGTTATCATCAGTATTGACTTCAGAGATTGTCTATATAGAATGTACCAAGACAAGGCCTAGGTTTCCTTCCTCCCGCCACAGTGCATCCAACTGTACA